ACTCTAGGGGACACAATTCAATTCATAACCAGTAGGCTCAAACATTACAAGAATCCAGAAGCTCAGACAGAACTGGCCAGCCTTTTGTTCTATTTTATATAAAGCCACCATGGGCTGGAGCTGCCTCAACAGCAAATGGAGGAACAGGTGGAGGAGCAAACTCTCTTGCCATCCATTCTCACACAGAGCAACTCTACAGGACAGAGAAGTGCCACCGAGGGTGGTGGTGGTTAAGTGCCATCGAGTCACTTGAACGAACCTATGTACAAAAAGCCCTAAACCCTGCTCTGTGTCTCTGAAACACCTACCCCCATTACCACAGTCACTGAATCAATCCATCTCATCAAAGGCCTTCCCCTCCTGCGCTGTCCCTCCAACCCTCCCAAGCATGACATCCCTCTCCAAGGACTGGTCCCTCCTTCTAATATGTCCACAGTATGTCTGACGAAGCTTCAGAATCCTTGCCTCAATGGAGCAGCCTGGTTTCACCCTCTCCAGAACGAACCTGTTTGTTCTCCTAGCAGTCCATGGTATATCCAATACTCTTGTCCAGCACCATAGCTCAAATGCATCAATTCTCTTTCTAGCATCCTTAGTCATTGTCCAGCTCTCTGATGCACAGCAAGCAATTGCAAAGACTATGGTCTAGTCAGGCACACCTTAGTCTCCAGACTTAAGTTGTTGCTCTTCAGTACTCTGGAGAGTTCCCTGACAGCTGACTTTCCCAATGCAATTTTTCTCTTTATTTCCTGGCTGCTTGTACCAAGAGTGTTGACTGTGGAGCCAAATAAACTAAAACTGTTAACAATCTTGATCTCTTCACCATCCATAATGATGCTGCCAATTGGCCCAATGGTGAGAATCTTTGTTTTCTTGATGTTGAGCTTCAATTCATACTGAAGGCTACAGTCATTGACATTCTGCAGCAAGCACTTCAGGTCCTCCTCAGTCTCAGCAAGCAAGGTGGTGTCATCTACATAACTAGAAGGCTGTAAATATTTTTGGGAGCAGACTGCCACATCTTTCTCCTCCAGGGCTTAAATCACTGACCTTTGAGTTAGCAGCTGTGCAATTAACCACTGCACCAGAGCGCCTTAGTAAATTAAATGATCATGCTCACAGGCTCACTGCCACTGAGTACGTCCCACAGGACAGGGTTTCAGAGGCAGTGAGTATTTAAGTGAACAGACTGCCTCATCCTTCTCCTGCTGGAGTGCCACCAGGTTCAAACTGCCAACCTTCTCATTAGCAGCCTCTCTTAACCCACTGTGCCACCAGGGATTCCAGTGGTAAAAGAGAAATAAACAATAAAGGCTATGAAATGGGGAGGGGAGAATCAAGGATGTGGCACTAAGTTTCTCCAGCTTGAATGATTTATGCTAATACCAATTTGATTTTTTTTTTTTAATGCACAAGAAACAATGGTGAGCAGAGTTAAAAGTGGTGAAATTCGGGAGTTGAATGTTAAGTATGCTACGGGATCCAGACAACACAATCATGAAGAAAAGTTAAATTCAAGACATGGCAGGTGAGGCGCTCAAAGGAGACTGACATAGGGACTGAGCACTGTGCATCCCACAAGGACCCACAGTGGCTGCTCCAACAGTGGAGCAACTCAAAGCACCAGGTGTTCACTACCTGTGCTGAAATCGTTAGATTCCAGTGAGGTTAGGCAGGAGAGGAGTACCAACTTGTTCCCCTCGCAGTCAAGAAGCCAAGATTAGACAAAGGGAAGGAGATAGTATTTGGAAAAGAAGTAGATTGCAGGCAGGGGAATGATTTTTAAAAATAAGAAAAACTAGTGAATGCTAAAATGCTCATAAAATGCACCTGAGAAAAAAGAAAAGATCTAGGCTGGTAGGGGGTGAGGGGGTAACTGAAATCAAGAATTCAAGAGAGAAGGGGTTCTGCTGTGATGAGAAGAGTGGGAGGTGGGTTTGTCTGCTGTAAGAGAAAGCAGTATTTGGGGAAATCTGGAGCAAAGTAGAAATGGGTGAAAACATCAGTGAGGCTATTCTTCTCAAATTGTACTGTATAGCTTACAAAAATGGTACACCAAAAGATGGTTTCCTTTCATTTGAAAGTGCTATTTGAAAAAGTACTGGCTTAAATAAAATTAAAAGTTCATTTGTTTTTCTTAGATGCCATCAAGTCAGTACGACTCATAGTGACCCCGTTTCAACCGCTCTGAACCCTTTCCTATCCTGTGTCAAACTATCTCTGACACACTTGATCCCACACTGCTGTAGTCAATAGGTCAATCCATTCAGTTGAGGGTCTACTCTCCTCCGCTGTGCTCCACTTGGCAAATGTGATACCCTTCTCCAAGGAATAGCCTCTCTAGCAACATGCCCAAAGTATGCAGACAAAGCTTCGCCATCCTTGCTTCTAAGAAGCAACCTGGCTTTACCCTCTCCAACACACACCTGTTCTGCTGGCTGTCCCACGACAGTCAGTACTCTCCTCCAACAACATAGTTCTGAGGCATCGAGTCTTCTTCTATCATCCTATGCACTGTCCAGCTCTCACATGCATAACAATTAACTGAAAAGACAATGGTCTAAATGAGGTGGACCTAGCCCCCAAATTAGCAAAGGCCCTTTACTACCTGAGGATTTATATACTGAGTCTTCAAGGATCTATCATCTGCCACATTTATTTGACCCTGAAGCCTCTTTTCCTTCCCTCCTCCCAATACCCATTACTATCTCCACAGACTCGAAACCTAATTTGAGAAAAGAAGCGGAGTTAAAACTACAGACTAAAATGAGCTTAGATTAATAAAAAAAAAAATCAGACTGTGAAGGGAACAAAATCAGAGAACCATTTATCTCTGGCCTGGAAGACAGTTAATTATGGCTCTCCGAGCCCTCAAAACTCTATATGGTTCACACAGTAGCCCACAGAAATGAACCTGTTCCTTCACGGTGGCCTATTTTCAAAGAGTTAGAAACAAATCAAGCTTGTCATCTGGATTTTACCATCTAAAAACCTTCACTTAGTAGCTATTAAATAATAGTGAGATTAATTCATTAAGATCAAGAAAGGCTGACACATAGCTGCAGCATTCCATTCTAAGTCTAAATCCATGAATAGTAACAGACATCTCAAACAAAATGTTTACTATTTCCTTCAAAATGAATGTTGTTGTTACGTGCTGTTGAGTCGCTTGCGCCTCATAGTGACCCTATGTACAACAGTCCTAAACCTTGCTCTATCCTGTGCCAATCGCACTGCATTTCCATACTTGAAAGCTCTACCAGTTGCCCTCTCTGTTAGTCTACGTGTGTTCTGTTGTACATAGGGTTTTCAGAGGCCTGCTATTTCGGAAGTGGATGGCCAATCCTTCTTCCTAGTGTGTCTTAATCTGAATGTTCAGATTTAGAGGAGTATCGAGAGATAAGCAGTTTATAAAAATATGAACGTTTCATGAATAGGCATGTCAATCCTTGCGCAGGGGCCATGCTAATCTTCTCTGTATCGTTCCAATTTTAGTATATGTGCTGCCGAAGCAAGTACTCAAAATGAATCAAGACTCTAAAATTTTAAAACTTTAAAAAAAAAATAAATAAGGAGTACTTAACAATTACAAAAGGGAGCCCTGGTGGTAAGTGATAAGGAGCTGCACTCACTGCCAGCCCAAAGGAATATTGTTCTAATCCAACAGCTGCCTGCAGGAGAGGGATGGAAAATCTCCTCCTGTGCAATTTACTGCCTCTAAAAACCCGCTAGAGGGTCAGCTATGGGTCCATTCCCACTGCATGGTACTGAAAAACTACAGCAGCATTATGAACATAATTATAGGAGAAAAATCTACAAGGCAAATAAGGAAATCTCAGTTCTAGCCCTTGCTCCTGCCACCAACTAATTTCTATCACTGGACAGGTCACCTCACCTGAGCATCAGGTTCTTAATCAGTAGGGCAAATACAACAACTCAATGATCTGAGGTCTCTTCTATTTGCTATTCTGAGGCTACAACTTCACAAAATTTTTTTTTATGTTTTTTTTTTTAATTAATTTCAATGAACATTTACAGAGATTTTGGATTTCCATCCATTCATTGTTGCACTTTTCTCCAGCAAAAATTTTATAAACAGAAACAAAGCACCCAAAAAAAAAAAAAACAAAGCACCCACAGTAGTGGTACCATTAGCAGCACTGTAAACATTTCTAGTTCCTGAAGCCTTTTGTTCATTGTACATCCTTTAAAAATAAACCTCTTATAAGTTACCTCATTAGTTTTTCATATCATTAAAATAATGTTGAGTAATTTCATGAGCTTCCAACATTTGTACCTCAGGGAACAAGTACTCCTCTGCTGGACGTGGAGGTTGTTCCTAACTTTCCACAAAGTTGCAATAAATACAAGTAAGCTTTGCTTAAGGCCTCAATTTTTTTCTTAGCATAAAAGAATCAAGAACCAAAAGATATACACTGGTAAGGCTTTAGGATTTATATCACCAAACTGATCTCTAATAATAATACACCAAGTTTATAGCCTCAACAAATATGTGAAGGCAAGTTCTGAGAAAAGAAAGAAGACCAAGCTGAAAAGACAATTGCCATGATATAGTATCAGCAAAACTGAGGGGGAGGAGTCCGCAAAACCACTGTAGCACCCAGATGCTGCTATGGACCATCAAGCTGGGCCTGACTTGCACCTCGCCAAACTTCCTTTGGGGTTTCAGAGGCTGTAAACTGCCTCAAAAGACAAGAGGAGACGGGTCACCCTTCTGTGGAGCAGCTGCTGTACTGGAACTGCCTGCCTTTGGATTGGCAGCACAACTCCCACAGGGCCCCCAGAGCTCCCTGTAGGAACTGGCAGAAGGGGTTAATTCTGGAGCACAGCAGGACTGTCAGATCTAAAGCCAATGACCAAGCAGTGGAAACCATCCCGTGCGCCATGGTGAAACTGTTCAGAATCGTCTGGAACACTAGGACACAGGTTGTAGGTCTACTCCTGGTAGGAAAAGCCATCTTCCCTCAGTTCTCACTTACCTCTCTTGCTGCCAAGACGATTGTAGTTAGTTGAGAGCGATCACCCCACTCTGCTAAGAATGTTAATGTAAGAGCTTGAACGAAGATGGGTGAAATAAAATTCTGCCACCTTTTCTGAGGTATTGTGGTGTTTGTACCAGTCTCAACATCTCCTGGTCCATTTAAGAGTTTAGTTCGCTGAAGCTTAAAAACAAAAAAAATTTTAAAAAATCAATGAGCTTAATCTCAAAATAGCAAGAAAATCACTTAATCTTTTTAGATGTTTAAATTATGTGGAATATGCACCCACAGGAAATAAACTAGGAGCCCCAACCAGCCCTTGAACCTCTAGTTTCATCGTGGAACAAACATTATTTTCTTAATTCTGTTCCTCCCTAACAAAAGAAATCAAACTATATTACTAATTACTTACTATTCTAGATGATGGAAAGAAATATGTAACATGATTATAAAACACAGTGAGTACTTCTCAGCAGCACATAACTAGTGTAATTACCGAACCTGATTAAACCCGCTCTGTATCCACTCTCAGCTACCTCTCTCCCCGACAGTCACAGCAGCTCTCACAGAACGGTGTCTCAGCTAGCTGTCAGAAAGAAACCTGGGAAAACTAGCCAGGCGACACAGAGAGCAGAGGCAGGGCCACTGAGAAATCTCCACCTTGTGCTCACTCTTAGCTCAGTGCCTTTTGGTTCAGATATTTAGCACTGCAGTGACTTACTTCTTCATCTTTCTTCTTTATTTCTGCTTGGACTTCTTCTAGTTCCTCTTGACCCTCATCCGGACTCATCTTTAAGCCTTCCCGAAGCATTCTAATCCCAAAAATGGCAAACAGGGCAGTTGAAACATAGTACGTATACACCCTGGGGATGACTGTGGTGGCATAGCCAAATAACACTGGAAGACAAGACAGTGCAACAGTAGACCCGGTTAATCACCACGCATCACAGCTGCCAAGGGCACAGTCTGCGTCAGGATGCAGAACTAGGCATTCTTTCCAAAGAAACACGTTTCACATGAGCAGCTAATATAGGGGCCTGAAATCATTCCACTTACTTTCATATATGACTTCTGCACAAGCACATAATTATTTCCTCAATATAAAGAAGAAAAAAGCATAAAGATAAACTCATTTAAGACTTTACATATTATATTTTTGTATTACTGTGCCAAGTTATACTCTCAGCAAGTACGAGAAGACTTAAGAAACAAAGTTGAGGCGAGCTTTGGTGGCCTAGTGGCAAGAAGGTCGTATTGCAATCCCAGAAGTGCACGGTTCAAATCCACCAGATGCTCTGCTGGAGAAGAAGGAACAATCTCCTCCTGTACCAGTCAGATCTGATTTGACGGTACACACAACACACACAAAATAATAAAATAAAAAGAAAAAGTTGCTTCCTTAAAAAAAAAGTATTAAAATAAAAAAGTTACTAAAATAAAAAAAAAAGAAACCAAGTTGAGAAGGCAATTGCTAAATACCATTTTGACAAAACTGAAGGAAAACATGGCCCAAAGAATATTCCACCATATTGAACTTCTAGGTCTTAACAAGTCAATGGTCCAGTTGGAGAGGGCATCTTTCATCAAAAGGGACCTCGTGATAAGATGTTTTATTTAGTTTCCTCCTAAGATACTGAACTCCCTTCCCTTAAATGATGAAGGACCTGGGAACTAGATACTCCATTTATGCCCCACATAGACACCATTTTACGTTTACACACACAGGGGTACTTTTTGTGACACTTCAAATTTAAAAATTCTGCATCAAAGAATCATAACAAGCTTCTCATATTCAAATTCTGCACCTTTCTAGTTATCTCTGTGTATCTAAGGAGAGAAAAGCATTCTTGGGAGGTGAAAGATGACTAAGCATTTGACTAGCCAAGAGGCTGGTCATTCAGATCTACCCAGGCGTGCCTCAGAAGAAAGGCTTGGCAGTCTATTTCCAAAACAGGACTGCCATCAAAACCCCTACGGAGCACAGAACATACTTCCCTGCTACACACAAGGTCATCATAAGTTAAAATCAACTTAAAATCAACTCAATGGCAACTGGCTTGGGATTTTGGTCTTTGAAAAAAATTATAACTTCCTATAAATACAACACTCTTGGCACCAGTAGCCAGGAAATTAAAAGGCGCATTGCCATGGGAAAGTCTGCTGTTAGGGACCGCTCCAAAGTACTCAAGAGCAATGGTGTCTCTCTGGAGACTAAGGTGCGTCTGATACAGGCTATGGTCTTCACAATCACTTGTTATGCATCAGAGAGTTGGACAAAGACCAAGGAGGATAGAAGGAGAATTGATGCTTTTGAGCTGTGGTGCTGGAGAAGAATACTGAGCGTACCATGGGCTGCTAGGAAAACAAACAGATTCATCCTGGAAAGGGTTTAACCAGACGGCTCCTTGGAGGCAAGGATTCTGAGGCTCCATCTAACATACCTTGGACATGCTGTGAGGAGAGACCGGTCCTTGGAGAAGGACATCATGCTTGGGAGGGTGGATGGGAGGGTGGAGGGACAGCACAGGAGGGGAAGGCTCTCTATGAGGTGGATTGATTCAGTGACTGGGATAATCTGGATGGGAGTGTCAGAGACCGGGTGACTGTCACAGGACAGAGCAGAGTTTAGGGCTCTTGTACACAGGGTCACTATGAGTCGCAAGCGACTCGACAGCACAGAACAACAACAACATAAATACACGGAAACATTTACAACATCTTACCAGACTTTCCTACTAATACAACAGATAACAACTATTTAAAGGTATTTGGGAGAAAAAAACATCAGAACCAAACTGGACTTGGACCGACATGAAGAACCCAAATCCAAACAGTGAACTGCACATATCAGTAAAATCAACTCTGTAATTAAAAGTTAAAAACCATGAGAAGTCCAAAGGGTAGTACAACACCTATAAAGTTATGCAATTCCTTCTACTTCACCAGCACTTTTTATAAAATAGGAACAATATCTATAAATCTGCCTGAACATGAAATGTGTAACACAAACACAAACTATTTTTCCTACTTCATTATACTACAAAATTGAAAAGCAGTCTCAAACAGATAAATGTATCCCAAGGCACCAATTTTCCCTGCATCATGATTCACAGTAGTCAGAAGGTGGAAACAGCTCGAGTGTCCATCCATGGATGAATGGATGAACAAAATGTGGTATATACCTACAGACAGGGCATTATTCTGTCACGAACAGAAACCTTGACAAATGCTATGACAAGGATAAACTATAAAAAACTGCTAAGTAAAATAAATCAGAGGTAAAGGGGCAAATAGTGTATGCTCCCACGTAGACAAATTGTCTAGAATGAGCCAGTGTACCAAAAGGATGATTGACTTGCAGCTATGGGGACTAGAGAAAGGAGGGAATTCCTATACTGTTTGGAGTGACCAACAACCTTGACAATAGATACTGGAGACTGTAGCATAACTTGGTAAATACAATGTAACTTAACAGTACACTCAAAAATTACTAAAATAGCCACTTTTAATTGTACACACACTCTATTTGTTGCACATCTACTTAGCATTTACTATCTGGACACTGTACTTACAACAATAGAAAAATATGCTGCCAACCTGAAGACTATGCTGCATCTCAGGAGGTGTGTCTGCCAGTAAAGCATGATGAGCTGAGCTGGTAAGTCAAGCTGTAACAGCTTTACGTTATGTATCAGCTTGCCTGAGCAAGGCTTCTCAGTGGTTTGGAGCGATGTGGTCATCTTCTATATTCATATAATTAGCTAGTCTTTAAAAAGTGAAAAGCTGTTGTACATATTTTAAAATAAATTTAAAAATTAAAAAGACTTTAGGGAGTAAAGATCATGTTTAGCAATGTAGCAACCTCTATATATCTATATCCATCTATGTCTGTATTGTGTAAATGTACACGACAGGGAGCTCTGGTGGCCTAGCGGTCAGGAACTGCACTGCCAACCTGAAGGCATGCAGTTCAAACCCACTAGCTGCTCCATGGAAGAAAGATGGACATCTGCCCCATGTGTTTAACTGCCTCTGAAAACCCACTGGAGGGTCAGTGATGAGTCAGTTTCGACTCAACATCGCATAGCATAATCACCACCAGTGCAATTACAGCTTTGGAAATGAACGAAGGGTCAGTCATGAGTCAGAACTGAGCCGACAGCATTAAGAGATATGGGTTTACATAATCGTATTTATAGATATATGAAAATGGGTGCAATGGGTCAGTTATAACTCGATGGTACACAACAAGAAGTTGCTGGTAGCTGGAACGTCCCCAGAGGTGCCTCAGAAGACAGGTCTGGTAATCAGCTTCCAAAAGGTCACATCCTTGAAAACTTCATGCTGCATTCATGGGGCTGCCTGGAGTCAGCATCAACTCAATGACAACTAACAACAACATAAGGTACATACACTAAATATATACACTAAGTATATTTTATATATGTGTGTGTGTGTTTATTTACTTACTTACTTACTTACTTACTTACTTACTTACTTATTTATTAAATGTACACACAAAGAAGCAGCTCTGGTAGGCCAGGCCACAGGGAGCTGTGCTGCTAAGCCCAAAGACAGAGCATCTCAGTGGTGGTTCACTAGGCAGAAGAAGGGTGGGCTGTCTCCTCCTGCAGAATTACTGCCCTGGAAAGCTGATGGTCAACTATGTTACAATGGACATGACAGCAATAAAAGGTGCGGATTTCCATAACTGTATTATACAGACAGATAAGAATGTGTGCTGACACAGATGCTAAACTAAAAAACAGCCTAACATGTTTAGTAACAGGGAAGCTTTAGTAAAATTATACAAATAATTTGGCAACTATTTTATTTTTGCAACTTTGTAAATTTAAAAGTATCTTCCTAAAAGAGCTTTTTAAAATTTCAAAATGAAGAACAGCAAATCTTTTTTTTTTACCATGATTTCTAACATTCTTTATTTTTAAATTTATTTTAAAGAAACTTTAGAGAGACTTTGGATTTCCATTCATTTATTGTTACACACTTTCCTCCCTGCCCACCTCTCCCCCTTAATTTGCTTTTCTAAAAAAAAAAAAAAATTCTTTCACTGTTACAAAATCCCTCCCCCTAGTCCACTCTACTATGTGGCTTTCATTCTGGACTCTTGTCATGACAATAATATCTAATCATATCTTCCTCCTAAATAGTTCTCTCCCTCATCTGTTTCAATGCAGTATACATTATTTATCCCCTCTCAGTTTCCCCAACCCTGATGTCAGTCCCACTTTACAACAGTGGCACTATGCAGTATTTGTCCTTTTGTGACAGAGATATTTCACTCAGTGTAATGTCCTCTATGGTCATCCATTTTGCATATTTCATGAGCTCCTTGTTTTTCAATGCAGCGTACTATTCCATTGAGTGAATATACCACAGCTTCTCTATCCATACTTCTGTTAATGGGCACTTGGGTTGTTTCCAACTCTTCACTATTGTGAACAAAGCCACAATAAACATGGGTATCTTTTTTCATCTCTTAAGATTAGTTTTCTTTTCTGTGCAAATAGGGAGCTCTGGTGGCGTAGTTCGTAGGGAGTTGCACTGCTTACCCAAAGGTAACTCCCCTCTGGTGGTTTGAATCCACCAATGGCTCTGAAGGAGAAAGATGGGCAATTCTCCCCCCACTCTCATCCCATGAGATTTACACCTCAGGAAACCTGATAGAGGGTCAGCTATGGGTTGGATTTGACTTGCTGGCAATGAGTTTTTGTAGGCTGGTAGTTTGGGTTTTGTTTTTTGTTTTTTTTAATTGTCAAACTTTTCTAGTGCCTTTTACATTTCTGCAGGGACAGCACCTACGGGAGCTCTGGTGGCACAGTAATAAGGAGCTATGCTGCCATGCCAAAGATAAGTGGTTCTAATCCACCAGATGC